TCTGTGCACAGGGAGCCAGGTTCACGGGGGTGTCTGTAGATCCAATCTTTAGATGAATAATTCCAAGTTTTTCCACCCCAAACACGCAGAGAAGGGGCTGCTTTAAGCACACAAGGTCTGGAACAAAAGCTTAGCATAGCTGACAGGATCAGCTCCCTCACCCTAACCATACAACACATTTTCTAACCCCCTCCACACTTGGCAGCTGTTAATTCACAGTGATTTTTGAAGGGGAGACTCTCTCCCAGAGCTCCCACAGTGATAACTCTCCACCGTGCTCTGTCAAGCTAAAACCAAAGAAATGCCAACCTTTCAAGCGTCCCTGTGCCTGGAGGAGCATCCCCAGAGCAGGCAGCAGCACTCACCCCAGGGTGGCTTTCAGGCACACATGGCTCATTCTGGGATTCCAAGGGCCTGAAGACAGTGAGAGAACTCTGTGTGTGTGTTATTCATCCTGCTGGAGTGCTGGATTCCTCCCACATTCACTGCTGCCACTGCTCCTACCTGTCTGTGTGCAGCCAGGCCCCTGCCAGGAAATAACACCCCCAGCCTGGTGGGAATGAGTGAAGAACTGAAAATGAAACCTTTGACTCAGCTTTAGAAAAGAAGGTTTAAAATAGCATCCTGACAAGAATGAGTTTGATCAATGTCTTCCACCCATACAAGCCTGGGTGGGTGAATTGCAGGGTCCCTTCCAACCCAAAGCAGTCTGTGATTCTAAATAAGCTTTAAAATCACAAAAAAGACATTTTCTCACCCAGCAAAAGGGGCTCTGTGCCCAGCAGGGCCAGGACAAACCCCTTCCCTTCCCTGGGGCAGGGCCAGGGGCTGGGGAAAGGCTCCTGCCCCAGTTCCAGCCTGGCTGCAGCAGCACCTGGGGCTCTCCCTGCGGGGCTGATGTGACCCTGGGGGTTCCCAGGCAGGGGTCACACCAGGCTGCTTTCATCTGCATCCCTGAACTGCCATAACTGCGCAAAAATTCACTCTGGGAAGGACTGGGGGAAGCAGCTAACACTAGCATCCCTCCAGAAAAGTAGTTCTTACCAGGAATGACAGAGCCATCGAGTATTTTGGCATAAGTGTTACAACAATGCATCAGCAATGTAACAGTGTCAAACCAAGGAAAATGGGGCAAGAATTCCTCATCAGGGCAGTTCACGTTTCAAGTCTACCACAAACACCGTCAGTCTTCATTTTGACAATTCAGCTTAACCTTTTGGAAATGTTACTGCTAATAAATATAAGGGATTAATAAAGAAACACTCCTTTTCTTGAAGTTTCTATGCCTGACTTCTGCAGCTTCTCCCTCTCTGTTTCCCATTGTTTTTAACATTGCTGATCACTCCCCCCTCGGTTCTCAGCTTCCCTTGGTCTCTGTGCAGGGTTTCAGCTCCCTCAGCCTCTTGTGTTTCTTCTCCTGGCTCTCACATGTTGGGAGTCCTTAAATTCCTGAACCATTCCCCAGCCCAGGGACCACAGCCACCGGCCAATGCCCCACAGCCACCGGCCAATGCCCCACAGCCACCGGCCACTGCCCCGGAGCCACCGGCCACTGCCCCGGAGCCACCGGCCACTGCCCCGGAGCCACCGGCCACTGCCCCGGAGCCAGCCACAGCTTCTGCCACAGCCCAGGGCCAAACCAGCCCTGCCTGGGGCTGCAGCCCCCAGCACTGCCCCAGCCCAGGATTTGTCCCCCTCGGGTGGGACACAGCCCCAAAAGCCCCCTTCCCTGGGACACTGCAGCATCCCCTGGCAGCAGCTGCCAGGACAGGGAGCGGGCACTGCCACACTCCTTTTTGTGCAGCTCATCTCTTTGCTCTTCTCTCAGTGCTAAAGCTTTAAAGCAGAAGCTGAACCCCAAAATCCTGGGATGGGAGACGTTCACTTTTCTCTTTCAAAAGCCAGTTTACAACTTTGATCAAAGCCAGAGTGAGAGCACCTTGCAGCACAGTTCAAGCATTTTCTGTCCAGTTTCTTCCTGCTGTGAAAGCCACCATCTGAGAAACTGCTCCTTCAAAACCCCATGTGCACGGCAGTCGCGTTTGATTCATTATGCTTAATAAGGAAATTGATGTAACATCATTAAGCAGTGCAATTAACTGTCCAAATGACGCAATTACATATGTACCCTAAGTACATGAAGAGCCTGGTAATTGCCTGAACATTAATTCAAATTATTAAAGAAAATTATATTTAAAAACACAGATGCTCAGTATGGGAAAATGATGACAGGAATTCTGACCCAAAGCAAAGAGAAACAAACTGCACACACAGGGTAGGAGCAGCCCAGGCTGTCCCTGACCCCCCTCCAGCACCAGCGTGTCCCACACAGCCAGAGCTCCTCCCTGCCAGGGACAGGAATGCTGAGCCTTCCCCAGCAGCAGGAGTTTATTTCCAGGAAGCAGACTGCACAGATTCCATTTTAAAGCCATTACTCGCTAAATCTTTTAGTATTTCTACAAAGGCACACACACCTGCACTATCCCCCCTCTGGGACAGAAAATGAACCCCAGCTATTATTTATAGAAACCTGGATCACATTTTCTGCCTCTCCTGATGGCTGAAACCTCCCAAAGAATGGCTGTATTTAAGGTGAAATTATGCTTAAATAAGCAGTATCTATGGGAGGCTCACATTGATTTGGAAATAAAATTAAACCCTTTGTTATTCCACATGAACCACAGAGAATCCAGAAAGAAAACCACTTCCAATTTTTCATCAGTCCAAGGCCATATGAAACATCAGTGCCTCGAACCAGGCTCACCTGGGTCAGGAAAAGATCCAGCTGGACCTTGAGTGCAAAAAGATTCTGAAATTCTGGCAGTGGCTGCAGCTGTGGCAGGCACCCATTCCTTCCCCTGCTGGAGAAGCAGCATTTGGGTGATGTTTTTCTGAGCAAATACAAAGAGTAAAAAAAGAGATGCTTCACTGCTGATGGATTTGGGCTCCCAGCACATTCAGTGCTGCACAAAGCACACAGGGGCCAGAACAGCTGTGTAACCATCAGAGATCGTGTGAGATGCACAAGGATTTTTGCATCAGACCAATAAAAACCTGAGCAGGATTTCACAGGGGTACCCAACACAGAGTTCTGAGTGAAGCTCTCAGCAGCCAAGCACATCCTTCACCTGCTGCGTGCCAAACTCCTCCTCCTCCCGGCTTAAAATGCAATTTTCAGCTGCATCCTTGCCTGGAGCAGCAGAGCTGCATCTCCTCCAGGGCCCCTCAGATCACTGCTGCTGAATACTCAATTTTCCTGCAGTAAGGTAAGAATTAATAAGCCCATGTTTAACACACAACTAAAAAGTTGTGTATAAGGTTCTTCCCCCCCCAAAAAAAAAGATTCAGAGATGTTGCTCTAATAAGTGTTATGAAAATATTAAACCCTCAAAATACTCATTGACATGAATCTTAAATTAATTAATAGCTCTTGAAAAGAAGTCCACATTTTGAAAAAATGGACTGTTACACACATAAATCAGGCTGCCACTAAGAAAAATAATTTGCTTCTGAAGTGACATTTGTCAACTAAATGAATAAGTACTTTGACATTTATAGAAACTGTGACACTGCTAAAGCTATACAGTGCTGTTTAATGTTATTTTCCTTTTATATAAAGAGAGTCACAATTTGAGCATAAAAATTGCTCTTATTAGGCAGAGAATGTCAAATCTCATTGCTAAATTTAGTGTAGTCATTCAGCATGAAAACAAGCGCTGCCCTTTTGGCTTTCAGCAGCTCTGCTAAAGCGCCCATTCATTACCCACATTAACTTTACTGCAATGGCATTACCGGGGCCGTGCCATAAAGGGAATTTTATCCGAGTCAGAAAATCCCAGATTCCTTCCAGCACGGATACAGACGTGGCCCAGAGAGGCCCTGGGAGCGCTGAGCCAGCCAGCAGAGAGCTGGGCACGCTGGGGAGGGCAGGGTGCTGGCCCTGGGAGCCACAACCTGGAGCCCTGCAGCTCCCGGAGCCCTGCTTGGAGCCCTGGAGCCCTGCTCAGAGCCCTGGAGCTCCTGGAACTTCCTGGCAGCCCCTGTTCTGAGATCCTGAGCAGGGAACTCGCTCAGGAGCTCCATGAGGCCGCCGAGGGCTCCGCGAGGCCCCCGAGGGCTCCGCGAGGCCGCTCCCTGCCTGGCCAGGCTGAGGGAGCTGGGGCTGATGAGCCAACACAGCCTGGAGAACATCCCGAGGCTGCCAGAGTAACTCAGGGCACGTCCTGAAGCTGCAGAGCAGAACGAACCAGGGGACAGGGGAGAGACATCAACCAGACTGGGCCAGGAGTGAGCGAGAGCTGAGGCAGACTCAGCGCAGAGGAGGAACGGGTGACAGGTGACATTATCCCCCAAACAGAAACCAAAAGACAAAACCCTGGATCACTAAACACGGCAGGACAACGTTCATCAGCGGGTTCCTCCCATCACAGCACAGGTTTCAGTGCTGGAGGACAACGTGCAACAGCTCCACGACACCGCTCCCAAAGCCACAAAGGTTTCCCTAAATGCTGAAACAATTTAGAAGTTCACACACAAACCAAGGCCCATTTAGAGACCAAAATCAAAACAATCCATTTTCCAGATGCTCTACTGGTTTCTCCAGCTGTAATGGCACACTTATAAGGAACTGTAATAAAAAAGACAAAATGCTGGTGCAATACAGCAGGAACAGAGCCAAACAGCCATTAATATTGTTCTCCCAAAGAAAAATGGCTCACTGAATAGCCTGAAAGGACACCTGACATGCATCTTCCCCTTCTTCCCCGAAATATAACCAGACATAAAACTGATATGATTACTTGCTAAATCTAATAAGTTTCTTTTTCTTTGATGGTTGTTTGCTCCTTAATGTGCTTTAAATGCATAATAAAAATATAATGAAAAACATACATTTATTCTATGTGGCAGCTACTGCATATTCCATAAAAAAGTAATCTTATAAAGTTTAATTTTACAGTGTTTCTTAAATCTATTTCTACTTATTCACTATATGCTGAAGGTATCTGCGAAGGAATTTAATACTGAACATAACCCTTTTCTTCACTGATATTAATGCCAAATTTTCTTTTTACAGTCATTGTCTTGTCCCTTCTGTAAGCCTAGAAAAAGAAAAGCAAATGGATTTAAGGTTTCCAAAGAGTCTCATTAAAATGTAAAGTCCAAATATCCACATAATTTTTTCCCTGATTGCTTTAGGGCTGTTGTGGGATTTTTTCCTGTCTGGGCATTTGTCTTCTATAACATTTTAATTTCCTTGAGAAAACTCTGGACTGAGCTTATCTCCTTGCCACTGGTGATATCGGAGCATCTGTTTTGCATTAAGGGAATGCAAATTCGAGCAGAGCTGAATTAAAGACCACTTGCTTTTCAGAAGGCATTTGTCAGGAGAAATGCCAGCAAATAAAAGCTATTGACAGGAAACCCTGTGCAAATCTTTAGGATAAGGCAGTCCAGAAAAACCTCTTGGGACTGTCTCCCTTGCTTCCCTTTGCGGCAGAACTTACTGCCAAAAATCAGATTTGCAGCCAATAATCAATCTATTTTAAAAACACTCCTACATTACACACACTTGGCTTTCACACCCTGCCCATCATCTCCAGCAGAAAAGCCAGCAACGAAGCTCCTCATGATGTCAGTGCCCACAAGCCTTTCCCTGGCCCCAGGGAGGATGGGCAGTGAGGATTGCCAGGTCCAGCTGCACTGGAGCTTCATTTTAATCCAGAAACTCCTCCCCTTAACTCCAGCTGTGGTGCCAGAGGTTCTGTGCCCCACTTTAATTAGGATCTGTTCCCGTTCCCAAAAGCCAGAAGGACGATGTTTCCCAGGATGTTTGTCCTTCCACAGACAAAGGGCTCTGCATTCCCACAGCCCATCCCTCCCTCCATCATCCCTCCCTCCATCATCCCTCCCTCCATCATCCCTCCCTCCATCATCCCTCCCTCCATCATCCCTCCCTCCATCATCCCTCCCTCCATGGGCACACCTGCCCGGAGCAGGAATCACCCGGAGACACCCAACCCACCGAGCCCTGGGGTCACTCTGGTACTGGCACAGAGCAATCCCTGCAAGGCAGAATTCCCTGGAATGCATTCCCTGCTCCTCCAGCCCTGGCTGGGACATGGGCAGGGCTCTCCTGGCACAGCCACAGCTCTCCAGGAGCACCCAGCAGCTCCTCGCTCCCTGGAACTCACCCCTGGAGCTCTGTGACACCAACAGCAAATCTGTGCACATGGGAAGCTGTTCCCACTGAGGGAGGGGAGGGACAAAGCAAAGGAAGGAAGATGGGAAAATATTCCCTGCAGATTTCAAACAAAATCCCAAACCCACAGCAGTTTGTGTAATTTTTCATCCACAGGCCCCCAGTATTTTGTGATATCTCAGCTCTGCATCAGTACAGCTAACTGGGGATTTGGTTGAGGATCCAATAAAAGGCTCCAAGAAGGTCCCTTGGCAGAGCTGGTGATGTCAGTCAGACTTCACAAGTGCAATGCAGGGCCCTGCAGTGGTGTTCATTTGGTGGCAGAGGAGGAAGGATGAGCAGCAGGTGAAGGAGGGCAGCACATCTCAAACAGGGGAAGGTGTCACTTGGGTCAGCTGGACTGCAGCAGCAGCACCAGGCAGAATTAACCTTCCCCAAACACCACCAACACCCTCAAGAGCATCAGCAGCACCTCCCAGGCTCTGAGGCTAAACCAAAACAAAGCTGATTTCTCCAGTCTTCAGCAGTGAGTGACAGAGGAGAGGTAAAGGCCAGGGACCACCAAGAGCACAGAAAAGTCACTCAGGAGCTTTGGGACACAGGGGACAGTGCCCTACAGAGCTCCTGGTTTAGGGTCACTACAGCAATACTGACCCCTCTAGAGCTGAGGGGTCAGCAAACACTAACAAGGGCCAGAACATTCCTTCTGGAATTACACCTGGATCCCTCCCAAAGGTCTGCACAGAGCCCCTCTGCCAACATCTCACCTGCTGGAGCTGGGGTTCCATCCCACCCTGCACCACAGCCACCCAGAGCTGGGGTAAAATCCAGCCTCTTCCTTCTCTGTCACCATAAAAATGCCACTTCAACACACAGGCAGGAGGCTTTACTGCTTCTGACAGATGGCACAACCAAATATGCTCTCAAATGGCTTGAACTGGGAATAAACTTTGTCTCTCTGCTGTCAGGGAGGGGGGCTGCCCCTACAAACAGCACACCTGGTCCTAGGGAGAGCCTCAGGGATCCCCTCTGGAATCACCCTGCACTGAATTAACCCCAGGCCTTAAAGCTTTCCATGAGCCAGGACTTGAGTTCACTTTATTTGCACCTGTTTGTGCACCTGGTGTTTGATACTCTTACCACACTGCTTCTGCCATGTGTTCTTCCTCTGTCTTTACCCTTAAATACAAAACACAAGAGCCATTTGCTCATCTGAGCAATATTGACACCTTGAATTTGCTCAAACAACAAGGATCAATAGCACACAGAACTCGAGAGACCTGCCAGGACATGGAAAAATATAATAAAGATCAAGGTGACAGCAGGCTTTAATTACGTGAGAGGAGAGGAGAAGGTGTGTTCTGCAAGGTCTTTGCAATTTGAGACTATAATCAAAATGTCATCAGCCTGCCTCTCATATTTTCAATCTCTTAGGAAAATGACTAAAATGGTATAACATTTTCAGATTAATTTTGATGCCTCCATCAGAAAGGCTGACATTTGGCTAATGTCAGACATCACCTACACTGTCGTTTGATTTCTCTCTTCCCCCTCGGGTGTCACTTCACTAATGACCTAGAAGTGGTAATGAAACAGGGAACAGACTAAAGACAGAGCTCTGGGAAACGAGGCAATATCTGCTCTGACATCCCCACACTGCCCATGGAAACTGTCACAAATGTGTGTTACACACACACACTTCAAAACCACGTGTAGGCAGCCTCAGCATTTATCAGATTTGATCATGAATTCATTTCCTTCAGTTCTTCAAGAATTCACATCAGAACACAAGATCTCTGTGAGGAACACCAGAGTCTCTCAGACTTCACAGCTACATCACAGTCTCCACTGTAGGAGCAGCTTCTGCCCTCCCTTCACATGGAACACGGTGTAAACCATGACCTTTCTGTGCTCAGCCTACACACTCCTGCTATATAATTATCCCCTTTCCTTCCTTTAGATCTCCCGGGAGTTTGAGATCAAATAACATGCCAAAAAAAATATGACACTTTCTCTGTCGCCTTCCATGAAAAATCTTGTGACACCAACCACACATCACGACACACGAGGAAAGGCTAACAGCAAAAATGCCACGGAAATGCTACAGTGAGGAGTTATTCAAGCTCCTTGTAAGGAAACTCCATCAAATATGCAGGTGGCATCGTGGAACCAGAGAAACAAAGCTGGAAAGGAGCTCGGGAGAGGCAGAGCTGCCCCCGGTGCTCCTGAGAGCAGCACAGGGCTTGTGGCTCAGCCCTGCTCCACAGGGATGCTCCCAGGCATCACCCCAGGATTCTGAGGCTGGGAACCCCAGGGATGCTCCCAGGATCACCCCGGGATTCTGAGGCTGGGAACCCCAGGGATGCTCCCAGGCATCACCCCGGGATTCTCAGCCTGGGAACCCCATCCCAGGGAAGCACCCAGCTCTGGAGAGCTGGGCAGGTGCTGAGCACAGCAGGAGGACCCTCGGGACACCCCAAGCCCAGCTCTCCCTCCCCACACAGCACCCACAGCCCTGCGAGCAGCGCGGAATTCCTGCAGGGCAGCGAGCACAACACCCCAACTGCAGAGAGAGACCCTCCAAGGCCTCCCCAGCACCCCAGGGGTCACTGAGGGGTTCTGTTCTCATCCCCTGGCAGTGCCAGGCACCCTTTTCCTGCAGGGAATCCCAGGGTTTGTTCAGCTCCTCTGGCACCCTGGCTGTTTGCCTGCCATGCTTTTCCAGGGGGCTGGAATTCTGCAGCAGCCCCCAGGATATTCCACACTGCATTGCAAGCCACAGCATCATTTCCACTTAAAACAGAGCCCTTCCCAACTGTTCTTTATCAGGATTTTTTAAACTCACCAAGCTTCTTCCCATCAGTAAAGAAGATTATTGCACTACAATTTTAAAGCAAACTGCGGCTGCCTTACAACAATATGATCTTAAGTGTTTTCCAATTACTTCTCCCTGGGGCCTTTCAAGCACTGGCCTCTCACTTTCTAGGTGGAAGCAGATTAAACTTCCAAGTGATTAATCCCTTCTTACAGAATTTAACCCCTAGAAAGATTTGCCTTCCTTGTCCCTCTGGATGTTACAAGACACCACAAGTTGACCTTAGCTTCCAAAAACCTTGCAGGGATTGCAGGTAATTCAGGTAATTCTGCCTGCCCTTGCAGGCGTGAGTTTATTACTGTGCCTGTTTGGAAAAGGTGCATTACCCAGGGTGGAACCATGACTGGAACAAATTCTGTGCCAGGGCATCACCACATCCTGTGGCCACCCCCCTGAACGGGGAGCAGTGCCCTCCACAGCCCCTCACACCCAGCAGGGCTCATCCCCAGGGCTTTGTGTGCCCAGCACCCACAGCCACCAAACCCCAAACCAGCCCCGAGGGTCCCCGAGCTCCCACCTGGCTCTGCTTGGCTCCTCCATGCTCAGCTGAACTCTGCAGGAACGGGGGCTCTGGCCATCCCAGGATGTGGGGGTGACAGGGACAGGGGATAGGTGCCACCCCAGACACAGGGGGGACAGGTGCCACCCTAAGCTCCAATCCCCTCCAGGAAAGGGGGGGAAAGCTCTGGGGCCCAGTTTTTATCCCAGCCTGGGCTGCCCAGCACAGCTGAGGACAATCTGCAACAAAGGCTGGACAGAGCTAAGAACAAATCAGGTGTTTATTGTAAGGCTTAAAGGACACCCTGAGCAGCACAAGAGCCTGGCCAGGGCTGCACCCAAGATAGACCAAAATGATCACAAATTTCACTCTTTTATAAGTTTTGGTCCATCTGCACATCAGGGTTAATTGTCCCATCGCTGCTCCAGGTTATGAATCCCCATCCTTATTTCTGCTTTGGGGCTGGAACTTGTAAAGTCTGCCCTTGGTCCCAAGCTGGAAAAGGAAATGTTGTGTCTGTTCTGTGAAGAGAGCTCACTGACACTGAACATGGAGCTCAGAGCTGCACACCTGGGCCCCACACAATGGGAAAATCACAAAGCTAGAACTGAAGGCATGGAATGCCACCGGGCAGGTGCAGCTGCAGGGAGGGCAAACACAAGGCCCCCAGGTAATTCCAGCCCCGTGCTCTGTTGGGATGACAGACCTTGTCTGAAGCTGGGAGCCATAGGTTAAAAAAAAATCAATAAATTACAAATAGCTGTTTCCTTTGTGAGCCTGAAAATTAAAACAAAATGCTGCAAGATCTCCAATTTGCTTATGGATAACACAGAGTCCTTCTGCACAGAACAATTTGAAGCTGTGTTATCCAAAGCCAAAAGGTTATCAAAGCCAAGAGCTGTTACAGCACTGAGAAATCTAAAGATTAGGAACTCTAGGTTAGTACAGAAGTCATGGAAATATTTATAGAGGAGCAGCAGTTCTGCACTTTGCAGGGGAGGAAGCATTTGCAGTGGGATCCCTGCAGAGCACAGTCCCTGAGGACAGGGCTGTGAGTGAGGCTGGGGCTCACACAGGAGCTCAGTGCTGAGCAGACTCTTCATTTTCAGAGCTGGGCCATTTTTCTCCCAGATCTGAGCCTGCCACTAAGAGTTCATTGGTGGCAGCAGTGACAGCAGCTGCTCCAGAGCAGGAAATATCTCGCAGGGATTGCAGGGATGGGCTCCCTGGTTATTCTGCATGCGCTGCCAGGAGCGGATGGATGGCACAGCCTGGGCAGGGCTGACGGCAGCAGATCCTGCACAGAGACCTGCAGAGGTGGGATGCCTTTTATCCCCTGGTGACTCCAGGAAGAATGGTTCTGGAGGAAGGATATTGCTGTTATTGCTTGTCAGGTTTATTTCAGATCCCTGCTCCCCTCCTTCGGAAGAGAACGGGCAATGATCACCAGCAGCACAGTGGCAAAGCAATAAATAAATCCATCAATAAATCCTGAGCTGTCTGCAGCAAATGAAGTCATTTCACCGTATTTCAGAGCCTGCTACCTGTGAGTGTGGCAGGGTGTGCTGCCAACAGCTCTGCTTGTGCTGAGGACCTGTCTGGTTTTGTGGAAGATAAACATTTGCGTGCCAAAATCCTCTTCTCATCAAAACCTGATGTGCCACCAGCTGCAACTGAACACAAACTGCTTGTTTCCCATCTGGGTCTGCATTACAAGGAGTAGGAATGGGGGCTGAAATAACTGGATAATTTATAGAGAAAATTAAAATTTAAAATAATTTAATAATTAACATTTCTTTTGCTTTCACACGCAGGTCTCGCTGGGAAATCCCACACTGTGAGGAGAACATTCCTGTTGTTTCCTAACCACACATCTGCACACATGAGGATTAAAATGCCCCTGGAACAGGAGGGTTGGATGGCTGTGAGGTGTGAGATGTGTTTATTCATTTCTGTGACACACAAGAATGAAACAAATGAGCTGCTGCTACTGAGAGTGCTGAGAGCATTCCCCAAAGAGACGTGAGCAGAGCTGGGCACTGCAGGGGACAGCAGAACCTGCATTTGACAGTTCTTACTCCTCGTGCTCCTAGCAGGTTGTGTATAAATGCTGAGGTATTAAAAACAGGCATCTTCTTTGGAATTTCCAAAATCCAAACGTGTGGGATGTGCTTCTGTAGAGAGCAGGGTTTGTCTTTTAGGATTTCCTAAACGTTTGTGTTTTGTGTGGCTGGAAGGCCTGGGAAGGCAGGGCCTGGCTCAGTGTCAGGGGTGGCCTGGCTGTGTCTCCCTGCAGGGAGCAGGGCACAGCTCCTGGGGACACCAGCCCTGCCCTGCTGCCTCCAAAGCTGTGCGAGAGAAGGAGCCCTAAGTTCCACTTTCTAGTTCTGAGAGCATTTTTATTACACAGTTAAGTCTTTTCACAGCAAAATAACAGAAAAGTAAAAATCTCAGGATCTTTTTCTTGAGGCAGGAAACCTCCAGTAGATAAAGGAAGCAGTCACGCTCTTCACCTTTCAAGAGACAGAAGGAAAATTCCCTTAATGATCCCCACCAGGTTTTCTGCATGGATGTCATTAGCAGAAGCAGAATTCCTGGTTCTCAGACAGACAGATCTGCTTTTCCTAGAAGAATCCCCAACATTATTGCTCCTGTAATTGCAATGGAGTGGGGATTTGATTTTTAATATTAAGGTGAAAGAACCTTATATTTTAAAAATTAAATTTACAATTCAATGTTGTAGCTGGAGCAAACAGAAAATCTTCTGTGGAAGGGATAATGGCTCCATGCTCCTGCATGAAATGTCTGCATGCATGATGCATAAAGGCCATCACTCCACTCGAGTGTCTCGGAGACTCATCTCTCCAGAACAAGCTCTCAGACTGTTTTCCCTGGCCTCAGGGTCACAGTCTCTGCTTACAAAGTCATTACCAGAGGAAGAGCAAGTCCTTTGGGAGAGGGGAGTTATGTAAGTGAGTATCTATAATTAAATGGAGCTGTGACACCAGCAATCAGCCTGCCTGGAGCACAGGCTGGGACTGAGCCGGGCTCAGGGCACGGAGCTCCCCTGCAGCTCGGGGTGAAACGGGGCTCAGGTCACAAACAGCCAAGGATTGTTAGCTCAGCGTTATCTCATGGCTCTTTGCATAGAAATACTTTGTCCAAATCCCATTGTCATCAGTAAAAGCTTTTCCATGCACCCCATGTGTCTCCAAATGAAACACTGGGTCCAACTCAGCGCCATGTGTCTCCAAATGAAACACTGGGTCCAACTCAGCGCCACGAGAGTTGTGACATCGTCCCCACTGAAGATCAGTGGCACTTGGAGCACAGAGGCCTCACCCGTGGGGATTCTGGCTCTGTCCCAGCTCAGTGCCACAGGAAAGCTGAAGATGGGGACCCTTTCCATGCTGGTTCCTGTGGTGGCCACAGCAGGCCCTGCACAGCCCCAGCAGAGCTCCAGCCCAGCCCTGGCTGATGCTCCTGCTCCCCCAGGCTCTGCAGCTGGCTCTGCTGAGATGCTGGGCTCTTTGTGCTCCTGATCTTCAGCTGAACTTGTGAGGGGCAGGGGACAGCTGGTGTGCTGCACCAAGGCAGAACCACAGGAGGATTTGGGAAGATGTTAGGGAAACAGGCTGGGAGAATTTGGGGCTCTCCACTCTGGGGGAAGCTGCTGTGGTGGTGTTTGCAAGGAGAGAGGTGCAAGGAGCCAAACACCATCTGAGCACTCAGAGCTGTGCCATTGAGTGCTGCTGGGGAGCTGGAGAATCCCCTGGCTTTGCCATAGCAGGCAGAGAGGATTGCAGCTCCTGCAGCTGCAGTTGTGTGCCAGGCACAGCTCCTGGGGACAGCTTGCAGCGAGGCTGGCTGCAGCAGCAGCACCTTCACCAGAAACTTCACAGTGTGCTGCTGCTCCGGCTCTCAGCAGCACCACGGAGTCCAGGCAGCGAAAAACCCAACAAAAGGTGTCCCTGGGGCATGAGGAGAGCTCTTTGGCGGAAGAGATTAAAATATCCCTGGGTACAAAGCTCCCAGAGTCCAGCAAACAGCAGCAGGTGCCGGGGCAGGAATGGATGTGCTGCAGATCCACAGCGGCCCAGGAGAGCTGGAGATCCACAGTCAAACACAGCTGGCACATTCCAAACAGAAAGGGAGATAAAACATGAGGACAAGTTCAAGCTTTATTTGAATTCAAACACAGAAGGAACCAACAGCTACTGAATTTCAACAGCATTCAAGTGACTGCAGCCTTTAGAGCCCTTTGAAAGCCTTGTGAGTAACTATCCCCAAAGTGTGCTGGCACACGGGGAACTGCAGTGAATACCTTTAAATCAGCCCTGCTCAGCAGGTGCAGCTCTGCTGGCAGAGCACTTCAGAGCACAGCCAAGCCTGCAGCTACACACTGGTGTGATTAGCAGTACAACATTAGCAAATGGACATTTTCTTTAAGCCTTCCAAGATGTTTCTCTCCCATATTGCTCACAGTTGTACCAGCCCAGGGCTTAGGTGCTATCTTAAGACCCTCATAGAAGGTGGATGAGTGTAAGAGAAAAACAGGATTAAAAATGACAAAACAAACCCAAATATATCTCATGGGTCTCTTTCCCTCAAATCTGAAAGCACAGTTAAGACTTGGAAGTCAGGGAATCTTTGGGGAGCAGCTGTCTGGCCCTGTGCCCTCCCTGAGCTGTGCCCCATCCATGTTTGCCACCAGATCCTTGCCCTGCCCTAGCGCTGGATCCAACCTGAGACCAAATATCACCAGAGCCTTTGGTAGCCACTGGGATTTCAGCAGAGCTAAGCAAAGTTCAATCCTTCAGGTGATACCAGTAGGAACTGAGCTCAGCCTTTGATTCCCCAGCTGTGGCTGGTGTGGTTTGCAGCAACAAGAGTGGAAATGCCTCCCTGGAGAGGCCCCTGGCAAAGCCCCTGGAGCAGAACCAGGCGTCTCAGCACTGACAACACAAAGGCAAAGAACTTGCTGTTCTCTGGAGCGGTGCTGGGAGCTTCACAGGCTGTGAGATGTGAAAGGACATGGGGAAGATGATTTTTATATTGGCTCAAAGGCAGCACAGGCGCCGCGATCGGAGCAGCTCTGCCCTTGGCACATTCCCTGAACGGCCTCGAGCACGTTCAGAACCAGGGAGCAGGGGAGGGAAGGCAGCCAGCAAAGCCAAATTCACTGGGTTTGCTGTCTGCAGGGATAGAGCATGGCTGCTCGAGGCACTAGCAGCAGTCTGAACAGCTCTGCAGATGATGGGGATGGTGTCACTGAAAGCCATCCTCTGTCAGCCCCCGCTGGCCCTGCTGTCCATCCACAGCATGGAAAATGCCTTTGGGAGCAGTCCCTCTGTGCCCGTGGGACAGCTCAGCTCATCAGGTGCTGCTGGGCTTGGAGCTTGTTTCTCATGGCTGTGAATGGTTCAGGCAGGATGGGGGATTTGCATCCACCTCCACTGAGCCTCCTGTGAACCACCAGCAATAAAAGTAGACATAAACAGAAACTTTGCAGCTCTAAGAAACTTTGCCAGCCTTTTCTTCATTATTTTCATTTTCTGCCTGTTCTGCTTACATAATTCCCATTCTATCCTGCTCTCACAATCAAGCTTCCTTTCTTCCCCCTCCCACCCCTTCCTAGACAAGTCTCTCCCTCTTATCCTCCTCTCCTTTCATACACACTGTGACTGGCAGCACAGAGCAATGTGCGAGTTCTCCCCAAAGGCTCGAGGGAGTTTTGTGCTTCTGACACAGCTTTGTGTTCTCCTGCCTTTGTGTTATCCAGAAAAGCTGTTTGCATCCCGAGCTGGGAGGTTCAGCTTGCAGCTTCCAAGAAAGCAGCCAAGCACTGTCAAACACCTGAGCTTTGAGCACCTCACACCGACGGGGACAAAGCAATTTCTATCAGCATTTCATTTTCTGGGGCTCTGTGAACAGAGTGAGCAGGGCTGGGGGCTGTCCTCTACTGCCACTCACCGGCTCCCAAATCTGTTCAGCTTCACTCGGATGGTGAGGCCTTGGCAAGGCCTTGTGACACTTACCTGGAGTTCCAGGTGTCCCCAGAACCCTGGAGCAGCGGCTGTGATCCGGCTGTGTGTCATTCCCTGTGTGCCAGGCAGAGATCTGGGCTGGTCTGAACCGGGAAAAAACTTCTGGGAAAAACTATCATAATTCATTTCCCTTTTCTTTCCAAAGGAGCTAAAGCAAACAAAGGGCTTAGTTCAACTCTGGGAGGCAAACCAGTCCAGTGGCTTTAGGGGAGAGCAGATCTGGAATTAAAATGGAATTTTTCAAGTGCCCTGGACCAGCTGTTATTTTATTTTGGCTCCAAAAGCCAGCTGAGCTTTTGTGCATTAATTCATTCCCTGCCTCCTTTCCGTGGAGCTCAGGGCTCCTCCAGACGAGGGTCCCTGCAGGAGCTGATTGATTTCCTCAGTTCTGTGGTTGATACCCCCAGTTTCTTCTGCCACACAAAATAAAAGGGAAATTCTCATCTCAGATGTAGATTTAAAGACAAGACTTTCTTGCATACCCATCCTAGGAGCTGCCTGGAAAACTGCTGCAGAGGTAAAGTTCTGTGGCAGCCCCAGTGTTCCAATGGAGTAATAAAAACATTTACATTCACACAATTTAGTTAAAAACTCTGAGTATCTGTGTGCTAGAAGTGTACTATAAGAGGAGGTAAGTGGTAAGTATGAAAAACAAACAACCCTAATTGTACAAAGATTCTAAGCTATTTCAATTTTTAAAATCCTGCATTTTGTGTCTGTGCAAAGAGCAAGGCCTGTTCTGAGCAGCCACACAAGGAGGTGAAACACATCAGCCCTCAGGCTGTAAATCAGCCCCTAATTGTGCTTAAGACTATGGAGGGAGTTTTTGTAGAGATTAGTTCAGGTTTAATTCTCTGGGAGTTTTCTCATTGATTT